GTACGAGAGACTTACTGTATGACAACAAGTCCTCAAACCTGCAGCTTTCAACGCAAAGAGTGCGCATCGCCGGCACAGCGTCAACTCGACGGCAAGGTACGAGTGTACTCGAGGTACTCGTGTACATTGTTCTTCTGCTTTTTTTTCTCCCGCTGCACCGGCATCGAGCATCCCTGCTTTTGTGCCATGGAATACGTCGCTCGTGACTGGCTAAGAGACGGCAGCAGCACCGTCACCGAACCAGCTGGTTTCGTCAAGCCAGAATATAAAAGCTCGAAGGTCAAGGTGACTTTTCACTGTTTGCTTTGCTCCCCCCCCCTGGATTGCTCGTCATATTATCTGTTCAATGCGTTTACTCAACCTACAAATCAACTCTCTCACCATCTTCCACTTGCTCTTTACCTCTCGAGTGTTACAATAACACCAATTCCACAACAGCATCACGAAACAGCTCCTTGAGGTCTCACTCCCACAACCTCGAATTCCACCTTATCTCTTATCTCTCACCCTTAGCTGTAAGTGGGCTCCCCATTCCGGACCGCAGTCGTCATTGTTGGTTTCCCACCCGATTTTTCTTCCCTCTCCCGCACCATACGGCAACAACCCTTCCCCCGGTTTGCTGAGCTTGGTTTACTGCTACTGCTACTCCTACTGCTCCTGCTCCGCCCATTGCACATCCCTCGCCCTCCTCCAAGCGGTCGTCCAATGCTTTGCTGCACATTGTCAGCACACCACCACCACAACCATAACCATCGCCCTGCTTGATGCAGGTGTTGGGGAAGGACAGGGCAGGCCCACCTCGTGCTTTTCAGCCGGGGCGGGCTCAGCTATCGCCATCTTTCGGTGTGCGCGACTCTCCTGCAATGGAGAGCTCTAGAGGCTTTTTTTTACCTGCCTGTGGTTCAAGCCTCCCTCGTGTACCTTACCTTACTCGTGATATGACACCGTCTTATCATCGGGAAATCACTTACGGAGTACCTTACCTTATCAAAAAAAAGATTGAGCGTCAAAACTCAAACCTGCTGTTCCCAGCAAGTCTGCATTCTTCCGGCCGTCCATCCGGTGCTTGTCTTGTCTCCCCGCCCCTGCCTGGCTTGTCTTGCTTGTCAAATTCACCTTATCCCACTTCTCCAGTCTTCCGCGTTATCTCGCCCTCAGCTGCCACCCACACTAGAAAACAAGGCGGCTACGGATACACACCAACGGCGCGAGCAAGGGGGAAGGGAGCACGTTCTGCTCTTTGCTTTGACACACCGCCTCGAAACCAAGTGCTAATTGCAGACTTCTGCGCTCTCCAGGTTCCCCATTACAATCTTGCGTCCTACTAGTCGCGTGTAGATCAAAACCTCGCCCAACCCCGACTACAACGCACACAGCAGCACCTCCCGATCATCCTCAACTCGACTGCGGGTCATTCTATTTCTCCTCTTTTACATATTCGAACATACCACACAGTCAAAATGTCTACCGCATCAGTACAACAACCGGTGATCCCTCCCCGACCTTCTAGAAGTCAGGACAAGGAGGAGAACACCAATACTTCCTCTCTCCCCAAGATTCCTCCTCGTCCCATCAAGCGTTTCGACCGCTCTGTCTCCCCGAATCCCGATCGCTATGCGCCCTCTCCATTGAACGAGAGCCCCTTCTCCAAAAGTCCCAAGGCTACTCGTTCTTCGCCGAGCAATGGCTTCCTCTCTTCGCACGATCCCATCCATCACCGCCCCGGCAGCGTGTCTATGCCTTCGGTTGGCGAGGAGGGCAATGAATACGATGCCATCAACGATGGATTTGTCAAGCCGCCGCCTCCCAGAGCACCTTCATCCCCTGAGCACACCCGCTTCGCTGCGGAAGATCTCAAGCTTCACGCTCCCAAGCCTACTGTTCCGGCCCAGAGTGCCAAACAGAGAGTCATGGCAGTGACCCGTACCGATTCGGATAAGGCTGCCTCCTATGGCATTGGAAAGCCCAGCAGTGACGACACCAGACCCAGCAGCCTTAGGAAGAAGGCAAGCTCCAGCGCCCTGTCTCAAAAATCAGAAAGTGCCTTCGGCGACGAGGAACATGGCATCCCCGAGATCGGCCAACGTGTTCCCATGAACCCCAATCTCGGCGATGTCCAGGCCCCGTCTCCTGCGCCAGGCTCTGGCGCTGCCCCTGAGACCCTCAGGTCGGGAACTCCGCGAAACCACTCCCGCAAGCATAGTTCGCGTGGTTTCAATGAGCTCCCTCCTGGCAGCTACGGCCTTCACGGCCACAGCTCAGCTATGCCCACCGACAAGTTTGAGAAGGCCTGGTACGACAAGCACCCGGATACCCTCAAGAAGGATTGCAAGCCTTCTCTCCATGACCGTCAAAACGACTACGCCATGAGCAGCACGGATCTGAACAAGATTGTCAAGGAGACTCACAGCCGTGGTTCTGGCATGGGTAAGTTATTCACACAAAATCACGAGCATAGCGACGCGTGCTAAATCTGATCAGGAACCTCCGCCTCATATGTTGGCACCCCCAGCGAGGAAGTTGGATACCAGGCTTCTGCAGAGTACACCTCTCGCATCTCCTCCCCTGAACTTCAGCGCATCAAGTCTCCTCAAAGTCCCACGAAGGATTCTCATCCCCAAGTCTCTGTGTCTTCCCCGGACAATGCCACTGGAAGCGACGACGGCACTGTCCACGTCGACGAGTCTCACAACCGCCGCAGGAGTTTTGTGTCGCATGACCCTGGGCATGAGAACAAGTATAATGCACCAATTCTGGCCGAAGACGAGCGTGGAGGTGACGTACATCCGTATGATCTCCAGCCCGCTGTTGAGCCCCCACCAGAACGCTCCGGCAGTGCCTTTGAGATGGAGAAGGCGAACCGTCCCACAAGTCGACCCACTAGTATCTATAACAACCAGTCACAAACCGATCTGGTACACACCCCACTTGAGGACGTTGAAGAGTACGAGCCACTCTTTGACGAGGAGCGCCCAGAGGTCAAGAAGTCCGAGGCCGAGGTATCCAGCTCCAAGCCTCGTCACAAGTTTCCAAGCAAGGACGTATGGGAAGACGCCCCCGACAGCGTCAACTACACCGCCGAAGTTTCGACCCCGGAACCCACAGAATCAGAACGCCCCTCCTCCAGACGCCGTTCCGAACTTCCCACAGAGAACCCCGCCTTGGAGTTTGCCCGCAGACAAGAAGAACTCGCAGAGCAGGAAGGTCGTGGGGTGGATGCGAAGCAGATGAAGCCAGTGCCTGCCGCCCTCCAGAAAGCCAAGGAAGAGGCCCGTCCAGCCATGTCGAATCGGTTTCCCAGTCGCGACGTCTGGGAGGATACACCAGAAAGCGCCATGCACGAGGCTATAGTGGACACACCAGAGCCGAGGGACGAGTCTTCAGTGGAAAAGCCGTTTGTGCCAACACGCCCGCAGAAGAAGGGTTCAGAATCGATTGCCACTGCGGAGCCACCCTCCATTCCTGAACGGCCAAGAAAACAGAACTCGACAAGTGAGGATAAGACCAAGCCGGCTGTCTCGGAGAAGTCAAAACCTCAGATTCCTGCTCGTCCTACCAAGACCCTTCCTTCCGGCGTTGACTCCAAGGAGCAGGACTCTGTCCCCAAACAGAAGCCGGCTATTCCCGGCAAGCCTGCCGGAGGCAAGATCGCAGCGCTCCAGGCCGGGTTCCTGTCTGACCTTAACAAGCGCCTTCAGCTGGGACCTACAGCCCCGAAGAAGGAGGAACCCCCCGCGGCGGATGTTGCCGAGGAGAAGGAGAAGGCTCCGCTCTCTGATGCTAGGAAAGGTCGTGCTCGTGGCCCCCAGCGTAGGGCTCCGGCAGCCAAGAGCCCAGCTCCCGCGGCTGCTGAGGCCAAGTCCGGACCCACGCTCTCATTCTCCCCTCTCAGAATTTGCTGGAGCATTGGCGACAGTGGTGTCCTGGAGGTCGACCAAGGTTCCAAAGAGGAGCCCACCAAGGAGGCAGTTCCCGAGGTCGTCAGCACACCAGAAGAGACGAAGGAGACCAAGCCCGAAGTCTCGGCCGAGGAAGAATTGTCTGAGGTGCCCGCCACTGCGGAACCTGCTGCAAAGAGTGTAGAGGTAGCTGAGGCCGAAACTTCTAAGCCTGTGGACGCTGAAGATGAAGTCGAAGCACCGAAGGAGGTTGTCAAGACCCTGGCCGCCAACACTGCTGGCGAGCCTGTGGTCGAGGCGACTCTTGAGAAGAGTGCCGACATCGAACCTGTCGATGTGAAGCAAACCGGAGGCGAAGCGGCATGAACTGTCGCAGGCTGGCCGGTGCGAGAGTGAGTGTTTGGTGTGTCATGATGCAGAAGTAAAAGCACTAGATCGGCATGCTGTTCGCATAAAGGTTTTCTTCTTCGGTTGATGGTTTTCGGGTCATCCAACTATATTTCTACGTTCCCTAACTTTGCCGTACGGCTCTACAGCGTTTTGTTGAATAGGTAGCAATTTGATACTGCGTTTGTTGTCTCTTTCCGATGGAAGGACAGCCTCGCCTTACGCGTCGGCTTGTGGATGTTCACATACATAGCCTGGTGCGTGATGTCACCGAGTGTTTCCAAAGGTAATGATGTAAGACTAAGTACAGCCTCTGATTCAAGACAACATGGTCGACATACGGGATGAGGTACTGCCTTGCGCACCTCAGAGACCCCAATATTATCAAGACGCCATGCTTGTCAAGGGTGAGTTATTTTAAAAGTGTGGTGTGAAAAATGAAGTTTGCCCGCTAGTGATTGTAGTCCGTGGAAGGAAGTGTTCTTGCGAGACGTTGCCTGCGCGCCGAGTCTGGAGATCTGAACTCAAATCATACGTATAGTTAGCATGCTGTTAGTAGAACTAGTCAAATAGATGTTACTTTGTTTTGCGTCCTCAAATGCTGGGGCTTCGTCCTGTCCCCTACTGTGCCTAGTGAAAGCGTTGCCCCTGATGAGTGTCGGAACGATTACCTCGACATTCAAGCGGTTTCTTGTAGATGGTTTATAATAACATGTACTTTTACGTATATGTCAAGCAGTCGGCTCTGAAGCTCAGACCAAATAACAAGCGCAAATTTGTGTTGCTTTGTTACCATCACGTTGTTGTTCTCCAAGGAATCGAGAATCTTCACACTCCGCCGTGGGACCTACCTACCTTGACCGGGATCAACGATTGGAGCTGGCCCGTGAAGATCAACGAAGCTGGTGGTCCTTTTTCGAAAACCTCATTCCATTAGTGACACTAAGTTTGAATCGGCCAGCGGTTCGGCGCGCTTGGTCAAGTCTGAACCATTACGACATCTTACTCTACATGTACAAACCGCAGAATCAAGCGCTCGCCTATGGGCCGTGCCGTGTACGTGTCGTCCTGCTCGATACCCTCATCATCAACCACATGCGTCGTAAAATTCGTCCAGATTGCTGCAGTTATGAGTTTCATTTCTGAGAGAGCGGGTTCAAAAGTCAGTAAAGCGATTTTCCTCTGGAAGTTCATTTGAAAGGTGGGGGGTTTGTAAGTCGTACCATTCATTGCAAAATTAGACCCAACGCACATCCTCCCACCGCTCCCGAAAGCCCAAAAGTAGCGCAGCATCTCTCTTCTCTGCGCCTCGCTGGTGTGTGAGGCGAGCCAGCGGGTGTGGTCCCAGACCTCTGGATCGGGGAACACGGCTGCGTTGCGGTGGAGGGTGTAGCCCAGCGCCGCGACGCGGACGCCGCCCGGGACCGAGAAGTCGCCGAGCCGGCAGGGCGACGGGAGGTGTGGGGTCCGGCGGGGTTCTGGGCCGGGGATGGGTGCATGGAGGCGGAGGGTTTCCATTATGACTGCGTGGAGGAGGGGGAGGGCGTCGATTTGTTTTGGGTCTGGGAGGGAGGGGGGTAGAGTTGTGGAATCTGCTGCTGCTGACATTCTGAGGTCTGGCGATAATGAAAGTAGTTCTTGGCGGAGCTGTTGTTGGAGGAAGGCGGATTTGGAGAGATGCCAGGCGAGGTAGGTAAGTGCTATTCCCGCCGTCTCTTGGCCTGCTAGGACTTGGTCTAGAATTTCCGAGGCTACGGACGCGTCTTTTTGGAGGATCGTGGTTGGGTAGAGGATGGAGTTTTGCCCGTTTGCGAGGCGCTCTTTTTCGATGCCGGATTCCATTGCGCAGAGGACGACTGGTTCGTCGGCCGCGTCTCTTTTCCCTTGTCCCTCTTCTTTTGCAGTAACGGTGGCAGTAGTGGTGGCACTCACTCCCTTTTGATGAGTACGGACATACTCCCTCGCCCCCTCGCACAACCGCCAGTTCCACGCCCATATCTCGGCATTGGCATCGTCCACCCACGATGGGTATAGTTTCCACCATCCCATACCCAAGCGGGAAGCGAGCGCGTTCAGCCGAGGGGTTTCCTGTGGCCAGAAGCCGTGGCTTGCGCGCGCGAGGTAGAGTTGGAGCCAGTGGTCTCTGTAGGCCCTTTGGCGAAGGAAGTCTGTGCTATTGCGGAGGCCGAAGGTGTAGGCTGTGATGAAGTCCATTGTGGAGGCGAGGAAGGTGGAGAAGACGTCGATGCCGGCTCCGGGTTCGGGTCCGGGGTTGGTGTTGGTGCCCTTGGTATTGGTGCTCTCCGTTTGTCTAGATGATGATGAGGCGGATAGTAAGGGCAGTAGACGGCCGAAGAGGATGGCGCGGGCTTGGGCTTTTGCGGGCTCCGAGGCGTGGATGAAGGATTTAGCGTAGGCGTTTGAGACCATGCGTTTGCGGAGGGAGTGAGGTTTTGAAGAGAGGGTTGAGAACATGTTGGGGACACTTCCAGCTGTTAGCCAAAGAAGCCCTTGCTGTAATTTATCTGATGATACGTTGATGGTAGACTCACCCGTAATTGTCAAAGATGGAGTACCACTGGTCCTTCTCGAAGCCGCCCTGGTACACCGTTTTGAGGGCATCGTAGCCGTCGACGCTGAGCTCGTTGGGGCCGATGCGCACGACGGGACCGAGCTTGAGGTGCGCTTCGTGGAGGGTGCGGTTCTGGCGGTTGTATTTCCGCGTGTATAGGATCCAGAGGGGGGAGATGTGACATGACCAGTGTGGGACTGGGATCTTGGACAGAGGGGAGAGGAAGAGAGGGTGGAGGATGAGGGTGTAGAGAAGCCATGCTGCTGCACTTGCGATTGTTACGGGTATCAAGTTGAATCCCATGTTTGCCGAGGGAAGCTCGCTAGTGATTTCTAAATCAGATGGCGACTCGATTTCTTGGTTGAGTTGGTGACCCAGGTGTGAATATTTCGTGTAAGTCAGGAAGCTGGACTCAATCGCTTATTGAGACAAGGAGTTGAAGTTAGTCAAACCCAGATTCAAGACAACAGCGATGTTCAACCAGATATCTGGCAACCGGGCCTCGAGTGACAAGTACGCCCTATGCCCGACTCATAGCCTCTCTAGACGAAATCTAAGTGGTGGTTATTATAGGCCTTATCACTCCCCTCGCCGGCGTTATCTTGGAGTTGCTTTGAGTTGTCATTGACCTGCTCTAACAGCGGGGTCATCTGTACATCTGCACATTTGTCACTGAGTGCCTCGGAAACACGGACCAGGCGCGGCCAAGGGGTGTGGGCAGATGGGCGAGATCTGCCTTAAGCCCACGCCTCCAGCTTCCCTTGCTTTACGTATATAGACGTACTTCGTATAGCATCCTTACGCATACTCGGTAGCCGCTTCGTATGCATATAACGGGGTGCTCTGTGTCATAGACAAACCCGCCAATCCTAATTGGGCCTGACTCCAGGTTGCCATTGCACGGTGCCTGGTCATTGTGACTCTTATATGTGGACTGGCTGACAGCTTCAACGTCAACCAATCTCTTACAACTCTTTCAATAGGTTTTGGTTATTGCCATCCCCGGCATTTGGAGCGTGAAAGACTTCTGGTATATCTACACAAGGAGACATGGTCTGGCACTAGGTTTCTTGTACAAGCTGCTTCACGGAATTACCCACAATAGCTAAAAGACTTTGTCAACTCCCTTTCTACCTTTCACACCCATCACATACCACACATCTTACTCGTCAGTACGGATATCTCACACCAATCCACACTCCCCCACGACCCATACCCTCATGTCATATCTCAATTGACATTTCCCTTACACTTCCATGTCACTCAGATACCAACCATCAAACCAAATAAACAGGGTCTTCAGAAAAGACTCTTGAAACCCAGAACACAATGTTGGACCAACTCCCAGACGACATCGTCGTGGAGATCGTCTGCCATCTCAGTACTGCCCGCGACGTAGCCCGCCTGGCATCGTCGTGTAAGCACCTGCACTCCCTCCTCAGCGAGGACGGCTGGCGTACCTTCGTTAGGACCTGCTTTCCCCTGCACTCCCTGCCACTAGGAAAAACTCCCCCGAAATGGGATGAGCTGGCAAACACCCTTACCCGTCAAGCCCGCGCATGGGACATGAAGGCTTTCCAGACCACCGCCTACACGGACGACCGTCGGCGGGATGGCAATTACTTTACGGGCTTCACCAACACCGGCCGTCCCTTTCACCCCGTCATCGATGCTCGTCTGGTCTTTGACAAGAGCTGGGAGCTCGCGGCGTGGGGTGCAGGTGAGGACGTCGTCGGCAGGTTCAGGCCTCACAACAGCCGCGGCGAGTCGGACGCGTGGTTCCGTATGGAGGGCAAGACCAATGGCTACGAAGCGGGCGTGGGGGATGTCACCGCCATTCATTTGACCGAGCCCAACGGGAAGCTGGGCATCCTCGTGGGCAGGGCCAATGGCGAATTACAGCTCGTCTCGGCGGCTCCTGGTAGCGCCGGCAAGACCCTTTCGACATTCAAGATCCCTACGCCCACTGGAGGTCTCGAAGCTACTACATGGACGTCTGTTGGGTCCATTGATACCCTGCCGAACCAGACGTCAGTGATCGCGGGCAACCGCGCCACCGTCAGTCTCTTCTCCTTGGACGCAGACGAAACCGGGGCCACCCTTCCGCTCGACTCGCAGACTTTCGACGTCCCAGGCCAGGGAACCGGGAAGCAATTCATCCACTCGGCCAAGGCTCTCAACAACGACACCATCATCTGCGCGCTCTCCAACGACGCAGACCCGATCCGCTACCTCACCGTCACCCCCTCAGGCTTCACCCCCAACCTCGTCTCCAAGAACCACTCCCTCCTCGCCTCCCGCGGCATCGACACAGACAAGAAACAAACCGTCCGCGCTATCCAACCCGTCAACCCAGGCCCTGCAGGCCACACAAACCTCCTCCTCAGCGCCTGGGACGACGGCACCATCCGCCTCCTCGACATCCGCACCCCGTCCGCCCACGACGTCCTCTACCGCGACATGTACCAGCCCTTTGAGACGCACTCGTCCCTCCTGACCTATGGCTCGAACCACTTCGTCGCGGGCAGCAACGAGCTCGAGGCTCTCAAAGTATTCGACTTCCGCTGGGCAAAATCATACCACCACTCCGCCGCCCTGCCGTGCTGGTCCGGCACGCCGTTCCCGGATCCTCTGCGGGGCACTAGCAGCCGCTCCCTGAGTATGCGCGGCGTCGGGTGCGATCACCCGCGCGGACGGGCCTGCGTCTGGCACGAGTACGCCCGGCGGGACTACTACCGCCCCAACTACCGCTTCCACATGATGCCCTTCCGCGACGCGGCGCGCTCGTCGACGAGCCGTGTGTTTTCCCTGGCCAAGGCGTCGGACGTCTCGGACTCGTTCTACGTCGGTCTCGCGGGCGCCGTGGCCGAGTTTTCTACCACTGTCCCGGGGGAGGCGGAGCAGGACGAGGTCGCGGCCTGCGTGGCCTCGGCGGCGGCGAAGAGGGATTGGAGGGCGCGGGCGTCGCACTTCAGTTTCGCCGAGACGGACGACGGATTGTTGACGCCGGGGATGTCGATGAGTACATTTATGCCGAGGCTTGCGCAGCGGTTCGGGGACGAGGTTGGCGCGCCGCAGTTTCGGGAGTGGTGGAGTAAGACTCCGCCCAAGACGGCGGCGTGGCATCGATGGGACCCGAGTTTTTGGCGGCCGACGCATTTCACGTTTTGAGGGAATTTCGAATAGAGGAAAGGAAGACTTTTAGGGAATTTTGATTGTTCAGAGAAAAGGGGTTAGTAAGATGAACTCACGGATGGGGGAAAAGTTGAGGCAAAAGAATCAGCCATAGTTAAAAAGAGAAATACCCGCATAGTTTTGATGTGACCGGGCCAGACAAAGGACTCGGACAGAGTGTAGAATACAGTCAATTCACACAGCTATACAATGATCACCAAGAACCATTCGCTTCATGATACTGGCTGCGGTGCCTTCGCCGTCGTTTAGAACAGTTAGCCCGCATAACCAGGAACTCCTCTGCATCGCTCATACCGTGTTCCCTCTTTCCCACTTTTCCCCCGACCATCGCAGAAGGAAGATAAAATAGATCATTAAAAATAACAAAAGAGAAAAGGTTCAGGGGAAGAAGAGAAGTCAATCAGTCATCTAGGGAAAGGGGATCACGGGTGGCTTACGAAAATCACCAGACGACTCATACTACCTATTCCTCAGGTGTAACGATACCAGTTGTTTTTCACGAGACTCAAACTCGCGACCCGTAGGAGCGGGGAAATTCAAACAAGGTCATTCTCCGCCACGCCATGGGCCTTAGTGACAATTCGACGTCTTCAGATGGATTGTATATCTCCTTTCTCTGGCATAGTTGTGGCCTGATGGAGCCCCAGAAAACGGTACAAGCTAGGATACGGTTATATTGACACAGGTGTACAAGCATAATCTTACAAGAATCACTTCATAGTCTTGACCACAACCAGTTCGCAATTACATAGAATAGGAGCACATATCACCAACGGCTATTCCGTTCGCTGCCCTGCCCCGCGTTACCCCTTCTTTCCCGATCGAGCATCGCATCAAACTCTGCCTGGGCCTTATCCTTCTCCGCATTCCTTTCCTTGTCAGCGGCGTCATACGCGTAGTAATCGGCATCCTTGGCGTCGCCCTGTTGGCTTTGGTCGGCATTTCCAGAAGGTCGCGGGGGCTGTCTCGAAGCTTGTCTCAAACGGTCCCATGCCGAGCCGGTGCTAGGGGGAGATGATGCCTGGGACCTCGCGGCGGGTGAAAGAGGCGATGCGTCATCGTAATCCAGGTCGTCTGAATGTCTGCTGCTGCTGCTGCTTCGCTGGGGAGACGAGCTCTGCTGACCCGAGCCCCATCCTGACCGGCCTTCGGAAGATGGCGGATCTCTTGAGTAGCTTGTCGGAGAGGAGTAGTTGGGCTCCGAAGGTAAACTGTAATCTCCTGTAGAGCTTGAAGCAGAAAGTGCCTCGTAGTCCCTATTCTGGGCTGACCCGTCGTCCCCAGCGCTACCGCCTTCGCCCCTCTTTTCGAGGACTGCATCGATGTGGGCCAGTATCTTTCGATACTCGTCAATCTTCTTCCGATATTGCGGTCTTACTTCCCGAGTCTTTTCAAGAGACATCTCCAAGTTCTGAGGCTGAACTCTCTGGGCCACTTGTTCATCCGTGCCTATCGAGGCCAGCGACTCTTCGAGTCGCCTGATAGCTTCCGCGGTTTGCTGACGCTGGCGCTTCAAGAGAGGTGATGGCATCTGGTCGGCGGTCATCTGGACCAGCCTGTCCGGCTTCATGTCCTTGCGGAACTTGTTCAGGCGTTCATCGCGGGCGGCGGATGCCATGGCCACTGACGTGGCATATGAGGCGACGAAAGGGCCAATGCCGAGACTGGTGAGGAACATGTATGCTCCAAACCTCAGGTTGTGCCACATCCGGTTCGCGCGACGACCTTGGAGAATAGGCCTAGAGGCATTTGGAAAGGCATCGGGAGTGAATTTGATAAATTTGGGTTGCCAAAAGGGGAAGCGGTAGGTGCCGCGGGTTTTCCAGGTCAAGAACCCGCCTAACGCGACGGAGACGGGGACAGCCCAGGCTGCGGTTGCGGCTTCTTTGTAAGCTAGTTGGCTGAGGACGTTGACCTCATCCTGGGTGGGTTGGCGGCCCAGGCCTACGGCAGCGGTGTCGAGCATCTTTTTCACATTGTTAGAGTAGTTCTCCCCATTGCGGAAGAGAAGGCGCTGAAGGAGTGTGAGCTGCGGTTGTGGGATCTGATAGTCGGGAGGCCCGGCGACGTCTGGGTCGAAGCCATTGTCATCGCCTGAGGTGGGGATCGCCATCTCAACGGCTTCACTGCCAGGTCTCAATTGACCTGACAATTATGAGGGAAGTAAAGCTATGAGAGGCCAGGGAGACAGGAGTGTCTGAGTCGGCGTCGGGCCAATTGCTGTGGTTCGTGGCGGTATGGTCTGTTCAATCTCCTAGAGACTGCTCATATGTTGATGTTCTTGGGAGTCCTGACGTAGTCGGACAGAGCTCTCAGGCGGGCAGTTGGAGCTCTAGTGGATCCACACCTGCATCGGCAGGGTGGAGAAAACACCCCGAACTTCCCGGGCTATCGGCAGAGAGTTTCTCCATGTCGACTTCGGGACGCCGGGGACCACCGTTTCCGTGTCACCGATGGATCGCGAAGTTCCGCAACTGAGCATTTCTCTTCCCATCTGGTCATC